AACGAAGAAATAAAAGCGATTGAGAAGAATCAGACCTGGGAACTTACCAATCTCCCGAGAGGTCATAAGCCGATCGGAGTCAAATGGGTGTATAAGAAGAAATGCAATGCTGAAGGTATGGTCCAGCGATACAAAGCTCGGCTTGTTGCAAAAGGTTACAAGCAAAAGGCTCGGAATGAGAGACCGAAGAGAATTAAGATTAGGGGAGGAATTTGTTGGGATTAATTAATTAATCTTAATTAGTTTACTTCCTAGGGAACATAAATTATCTTTCCCTACTTTTATTGGAAAGATGAAAGGTCTTCTTGGAAAGGTAAATTATATTTCCTAGGGATTATTTTACTCCACTTGTAATGCCTATATAAGGCCACCAATTGTAATGTTTTATCAAGTGGAATATAATACATTCTCCTCCATTCCTTTGAGTTGTAAGTTAGCCAAACACTTAGAATATTTTCGGATATTTGGGGCCTTCATGTGTGGCATCCGAAATATGGAGTGCCCTAAATATCACATTTTGGGAACGGATGCAAAATAATGTCGTATATCCATAAGTTAATGAGAAATTACCTAAAATAGGACTAAAAACGTGTGCATATTTCAAAATAGATCTATCATGTTTTTATTCCCAAAATAGGACTAATATTTAAAGCTAACTAATATTATCACTCAAATTCTAAACCCATTTCACTAAAGTTCAATGTTTTAACTTAGTTAATTAATTTACATTTAACTAATATTATTGTTAAATATTATGTCATTAATTCACAATAATAATTCACACTAAACTAAATAATAAAGTTTCAATCCTATATTATACATTAACAATAATTGCTAATAAACAATAATTGGTGATAATTAATAACCTAAGCTAGCTAACTTAAATCACTACAAGTCACTAATTAAGCTATAATAATTATAATTAAGCTAGCTAACTCAAATCACTACAAATGCTAAATTATGCATTAATAACAATAATTGCTAATAAACAAACCGGCCTAATCATTGGTGATATAAACTCATTTCAATTAACTAATTAATATTTATATTTAAATTTAACTAAATTATGTTAATAGTTTAATACTACCTCCGTCCTTTAAATTGTTAATAATATGAAAATTAACATGACCTCACTAAATTACGTTAAAATTACGTTAATAGTTTAAATAAATGATGAACAACTAACCTCACTAAGCTAATAATTTATTACATAATTAAAAGAAATTAGTTAAAATGACATACCTTATCTGCATAAACAGGAAAAATGATGAACTGACAGATTACATCATTCAATCTTTAAACCGATACTACATCACTCGAATCTACGAATTTTTGAACCGATAAGGGATAAGTGTTGTTCTTGCAATTGTAATGGACGATGGGGTTGGGATATATAAAAAAAATTGTCACGGATTTGTCACGGATTTATCCGTGACAACCCCTTTTTCGTACTGCATTATTAAAGGTTACCGCTGGAAAATCAATAATTGAGGTTTGTCACGGATCCATCCGTGACAAAGTTTTTTTGAAATTTGTCACGGATTTGTCACGGATCTGTCTGTGACAAATGCCCGGGAGCAAAAAAGTTTTCGCCGGAGTAAAAAACCGGTCGCTGGAGTAAATTTGTCACGGACCAAAAGCCGTGACAATACTTTGTCACGGATTTTGTCACGGACCTATCCGTGACAACACATTTTCGTGACAAATCCCAATATTCCGTGACAAAGCCCGTGACAACTTTGTCACGGCCGTAATCGGTGACAAAAATCCGTGACAAAGAGCGAGTTTTTTTGTAGTGACTTGGCAGTAATTATCTTATTTTGGGAATAAAAAAATGACAGTCCTATTTTGGGAATAAAAAAATGACAGTTCTATTTTGAAATTTTCAAACTTTTTACTCCTATTTCTGTAATTTTCCCATAATTTAATTAGTCAGATATAGAGGTGAAAGTGTGAAACTTAAAGAGAGTATATTATAGGTTAAATCTTAAAATATCATTATTTTTCTACCTACTTATAATGATTTATACACATATATGTACATCACAATTTTTTTCTCTAGGGCCTCGGCCGCCTCGGGCCATCTCTGTCTAAAAGAAAAGGCACTCACTAAATGTCTAATTTCTAAAATAAAAACACATAAACTTTGAAGGGAAACAACGCGGCTTCCACAATGGAGTAAACCGGGAATATAGGTAATTACGTTCGCTAGTATTAGAACTACGACTTTGAAGAGTGCAATAAAACCGATAAAATTTGAGAGAATTGTATCCATCACGGCGTGCCATCGACCATCGGGTTATCAATGGATATGTAACATGCCAAAGAATTTGTGTGTATTGTTGTTACAATTTGTCAAAATCCAAAGAATTTGTGTGTGTTGTTGTTACAATTTGTCAAAAAAATTGCGAGAATTTTTGACTAATTGTCGGTCTACCTTTTAGTTTTGGACAAACAACGCGTATCAAGAACTAATAATAGTGTATAATCTTAGACTACATGAGAGTAATGACATTTTTAATTTCATTCACTTAGTCTCAAATCAAACCACATTTATACAATTATGTCAAGCTAGACAAGATTAGATCAGACTAGACCAGACTTCGACATTTGTAATATACATACACATAAAATGTAAATTGAATTATTGTCAAATTTGTAAACTCGATTTATTTCTAGTGAATGTGTTTGCATGGTGAAATTAATTATCTACATTAGGTCATATTAGACAGAACTTAAACAATTCAAAAAGATGAGATCAAACTACTGGTATAAAGTTTCAGTCCAAATATTAACATCTTGGTAGTTTTTCTTTTGTGCACATCCGACGACCCATTCATTGATACGGAGTACTTTTTACTGTTCACTCTTTCCCTTAGAGTCGCAAGACATATTCATTTGAAATCATTTTTATACTCAAGTACTACCTACGTAGTACGTAGTATAATTTACCGACCATCACTATTTTGAGGGAGTACTCCCTCCGTCCCGAAATAATTGTCATGTTTTCCTTTTCGGCCCGTCCCGAAATAATTGTCTCTTTTCCTTATTTGGTAAACAAATCTATACAAAACATTGTCAAACAATGTAAAATAGTGCCAAACAGTGTCACTACAGTGCCAAACAGTGTCACTACAGTGTGAAGTCAATTTTGTTTTCTTAATCTGTGTGAAAGTCAAAACAGGACGATTATTTCGGGATGGAGGGAGTATATACTAACTTCATTCTTAAATAAATGCAATGATTAACTTTTCACGTTTGTCAATGCACAATTTTGAGAATTGGTATATATTTAATTTTCTATTATAAAAAAAATCAGATTTTGGAAATTTACGATGAGAAAAATTTAATTGTACTGTATTGCAGGGACGGATCCAGGATATCGAGTCAAGGGGGGCGAATTTTTTCTGTTAGTATAGGGGGCGAAAAAAATTCGCTAGTGTATCGTGGCAATTTTTTCCGCTTGTGTAGCGGGGTGATTTTTTTGCTAGCATAGAGCTTTGCGCCTAATTTTCATTCAAAAAAATCCATCGGTACATACACGATGATATTTAAATCTATTACATTCTAAGGTTTTTTTGAAAGAATATTACATTCTATGTTTAAACAATGGAAAAATAATTTTAATTTTTTAATTGTAAATGCTCTAAAAAAAGTATTGATACATTAAAGCATAAGAAATGACAAATCAAATGAAAATTATTTGAAGATAAAGAGTTTAAAAGGTACACATCAACCAAGATTTTTAAATAACTTCTGCCTGTTTTATCCATATGGATCTTATTAGAATAAAGAATTGGTTTTTGAATTGCAATTTTTGTCTACTAAGAATGGTGTTCGTGGGTCACGAGAAATTTTCTTAATATTACAATAGTATGTGTGATATTATTATTCTAGAATAATATTATACGAAGTACATAGTATTGTTAATTCACATATATGGTGCATATTGTATTTGTATTAATGCTACAGTAAGTTCAAGTTTATTATCTATATATTCAACAAATTGTTTTTAGAAAGTAATAAGTAAATGAATTGTGCAATTTAATGTCAATAAACATTTATATTTTAGATTCACTTCACGATCTAAAAATTATTTAACTAGTGTGTATGCTATTTAATATTGTTCGATATTTTACAAAATTGAGTACTAATTATCTAATAAAGACAATTAAATATTACAAAGCTAGAAATTTTTATATAATGGAGAAAATAATTTAAATACCCCAAATTTTAAAAGGGTGAGTTAAGTACCCAAACCTACATGTGTAATATATATACCCCGAACTTTACATAAAAAGTTATGTTATCACCATTACTATGTAGTTTTTATTCAAAAATGTAAACTTATGGTGTTAAGCACATGTTTTAAAATAGTTAAACATTTATAGAGATGTAGTTAAAGCATCATAAATATACATTGTGAATGAAAAAACATATTTTCGTGGTACTAATATTACTTTTTATATAAAGCTTGAGATATAAATATTACATATGAAAGTTTGGGGTGTTTACATCACACATTTTCAAAGTTTGAGATAATTAAATTATTTTCCCCTTATATAATAGATGTCGTATGTCTTAAACAATGAGTTGTGCTATTGTTTATTCATTCAAGTTAAGTAAATTATTTTTGATGTCACTTTATTTAAATCTCCAATTATGTATTACATTATGTAATGCTATATATAAATTTTTAAAACTAAAAGTTAAGGGGGGCGAGAACATATATATCTAACTAAAGTATGAAAATATTACATATATAATAGAAAAAATTGAAAGTCCAAGGGGGGCGGTCGCCCCCCGCGCCCCCCCTTAAATCCATCCCTGCTGTACTAGTATAAAAACAATTCATTAATAATACATTAATAAATGAAATATAGTCAAAGTAGAACACATGAATAACATAAAATTCAACATGTTACACAACTTTAAGAACGGAAGAAAGTATATATATATATATATATATATATATATATATAGTCCTTGTGCTACGATGGCCGGACTCTGGTAATACCATCAGCATATACTACGTACCATACAAACTCTTTGGCATCTTATATGTCCGATATAACACGATGGCCCATCGTACTCGAAAAGGAAGCAAATGTGGCGGTTGTTGTAACGCTACATTTGGTCTGGGTATTGTTGTAATCATAGTTCTTATAGTAGGAGTACCATGGTTTTTCTATCACATCTACAAGCCGAAAGTGCCGGTTTACTCCGTCGTGGGAGCGGCGGTGATGCCAAACTACACCTTAACCGACGACGGCAAATTAACGGCCAAATTTACCGTCAACCTTACGTCCAACAACCCAAACGAAAACGACGTTGCCATTAGCTACGGCATCGCGACGGTATTACTCTATCTCGACGACGAAGCAAAGGCGCTGATTGCGTTCGGCACATTGCCGCCGCTTGAGCAGCCCGCCGGTACGGCGGCCAACACTTCCACCCTCAATCTTTACGGGCAGGAGGTGGTGCTCGAGCCCAACACTTCCACGCTCTTCATTCCGGCGCCGCCGCCGAATATCACGGCCTTCCCCGCGGTCATACAGTTGTTTGTTCCGATCCATTATGATCACAAGTCACGATATGACGGGATGCTTAGCGGGGCATGCCAATTGTCCTGCTCTTCCAATGGATTTGAGGGGCCTTTCCCTGTTCCTTTTTCAGTGGGACTCAGCCGCAGAAACAATAAATTATTCATCTTTCCTCCTTGAATCTTTTACTTTTAGAGTCAACTTTTTAATTAAACACAGATTTTTTTAATTTACGTGCTGAATTGTGTAATAAAAATGTAAGGTTGCGGATGCATTTTTTGCTATATTAGTTGAAGTTAGTATGAATGATCTTTTTAGTTGTTTTTTCATTTAATTTTTATTTTATTTCCTTTATAAAACATGAGTATATTTTAAATATAATTATTTCATAAATCAGCAGAATCAGTCACTCCATTTAGAACCTCATAAATATCGATTGAATCAGTCAATAGAGTCGATTTGAGTATCTTATTTTTAAGTTTTTGTTTATTCAATTCTAAGAGAAGGCAATTATGCATCACTATTATATATATAGATTTAGGTTCAAGTGAGAATATCATCTTATGAGAGAAAAAAGAATGATTCTAAGCCATTAGATTGCAATATTATTTAATTTATTTAATTCTTTCGTATGGGGCTAAATGAGTCATTGAAGACTCTTTCCTTCCCTGTAGCATCTTATTATAACTCACTTTCCTAACTTTTAGCATCTCATAATATTCTCTTTCTTCATTTTTGTATTTACTTCTCTTAACCGTGTGACTCCATACATGATGATGTTAGTTTATGCATCATTATTTAATTTTTCATTTTAAAAATTTTAAATATTATTTAGTTTTATTAAACTAATAAACTTTTGTGAAGAAAAGTTTATCAAAAATTAGTAATGAAATTAATAAAAAATTAAATAAATCAAAACCTATGGAACATTAGATCCTAAATTGATAGTTTTCCATCATTCGGGTCCTATACCGATATGTTTCATCTTTCGAGTCCTGAATTGATAATTAATCTATCTTTCGAGTCCTGAATTGATAAAATTCCATTTTTTCCTAATCCATGCTCCCAATATCATTTCTAATGCACTATGATATCCGGTGTTATGATTTTTTGTCAGTCAAGTATACCAATATCAAATCATTGCACTTTTAAATAAAATATATCGCACTGTATACGTGCTGTCTAGCAATACACACATTAAGGCTAAATAATTGCACTTTGATATGAAATATGTTGCATATCAAACATTATAGATGCACTCATCAATACGTAGTATAACTTAATGCACTAATTTTGTATTATGATGCATAATTCTAGTAAATTGTCTTACACAATGGCAATGGATAATTTTTAGAAAACTATATTGTGCATTACGATTCAAATAAATGTGCACCATTGTTGTTGTGATCACTCTCATTATATTATATGTAGTATATATATGTACCATGATAGATATTTTGAATAGAAGTGCATTTATTTAATTACTGAAATGCACAATATAAACTTTAGTGAACTCGTGTTGTTTTATGACATCACTGATATTGGAAATAAGGTTTAACGACTTAACGTAAATACGAAACAAATTAAAATTATTAGCTTTTAGTTGATAGTAACAAAAATTCAACATGACATGTGTATTTCATTTAATGATTCAAATTATATAACTAAAATATTAGCCTCAACCGTGGGAAAAAAGTAAAGCAATGAGACTTTTAAGGAAGGAGGTTTAATGTTACGGTTACATGGCAATATTATTTTACTATATTGCCCATATCATTAATATCGTTGGTGTGATGCTTAAAATTCTTCCTCAAATTAAAGATTCCCCTAATTACTCGAGTGCCATCATCCATTCATATTAAATCTTCATCGTTCATTAAGAATAATAGACGGTTGGATTTTATTCTTATTTCTCTCCTGAGACATCATTCTCACCGGAACCCTCCCCTATATATATATATATATATATATATATATATATATATATATATATATATATATATATATATATATATATATATATATATGGCAAGCTCATATTCACATAATCATGCTTTGTTATTAGTTAATAATTCATAAAATTACCACATCATAATAATAGGTTTTTTTTCAACAGCTAACATTACCAAACAATTAGGAACAACTAACAAAAAGTCAAAACACCTAATACAAATTGATGAACAAAACCGCTAACTTAAGCGGTGAACAGCTAACCGCCGATTATCAAACAAGGTCAATGTCCTGCCTATGAGGTGGCCTTGTGATGCTATTTATAGAAGAATTATAAATGTTGGAAGCTATACAAGAATATCCTACACAATATTCTATTATTTGGTCATATGATCAACAAACTACTTGTAGTATGTTGTTACTAAAAAGAAGAAAATACTATGTTACTCTAATAGAAAAATAAAACATAGTCAATGATCAAGCATTGTCCTGGGAATAAAAAGGAAAAATATAGCGAGTACTCATTAACTTCAAACAAATAATTCAATGTAGTATCTTTAAACAAATAATCAAATTAAAGAGCTAACAAAATACAAAACATACTCTATCCGTAAAAATGAACATAAGGCACAATTCAATTGAAATACTATATCAATAAAGATGAATTGAAATATACGTTCCTGGAGATTTTGATGGATCTCCAGGTACACAGAGAATCCAATTTCTTCTATCAGAATGTGAATAATGAATATCCAAAAAATAACCCTAGGTAGTCATGTAATGAAGAATAATCAAGTGGAAATTCAGTTCAAGGATATAAAGAGTTTCAAAGTTGTGATATACTCCCTCCGTCCCTAAAAGGATTGTCAAGTTTGACCGGCACGTAGAATAATAAAGTAAAAATTGTGTGGTAGAGATTTGTGCAGAGGAGAGAGAAACAACAGAAGTCACAAATTGATTGATTAAAAAGGAAAATGGCAAAGTTTTTGAGACAACAAAAAAAGGAAAGTTGACAAAGTTATAAGAGACGGAGGGAGTATATGATAGAGATGGTTGGTTATCATTATAATAATAATAGTTATTATTATTATTAGTATTATTATTATTATTATTATTATTATTTTTATTTTGTAACATTATTTACGTATGTACTGCGTAGTTGTTGTTGTGGGATAGGAATTGTATTCATTTATTGCTCTCTGACGAGCACTTTGTCACGGTGCGTCAAAATAATTCGATACTAACACTTATACGTAGTATAAGTGAAGTAGAGTTCGTATCCACAGGGAAAGGAACAATTCTCTTTTTATAAAACTTAGTAAATAAAGGGGGGTTTTGGTGATGAATGATTTAATTAAATTAAAAACTAAGATGACCGACTTATATGAGATTTAATTCAAGAATAAAAGGGACTTGGCTTTGGTACTTTCCACTTGTTGATATATTTTAGTCGATCCTTGTTATATCTATAACTTATCCCCTCTCGAATACTCAATCGAGGAGTATCTCCAATTCATCGAGGGTAGTCATTAACAACGACCGTTCATTAATAACCCTTACTATTAATCAAATATAGAACAACGCCGTATACCGATATAATAGTAGCATTCAATCTTTTTAACTCCTTGATGAAATCAATTGAGATTGATAACCTCAACACAACGGTTTCGGTTTAACCAACAAAATTGATCCCTTCTAAGTCTATTAACCATGACCGTGCATTAATAAATCGAAGTTACTTACTTGTGAAACCACCAACGATTAACCATCAGTTCGTTGATCGTTTCTAGTAGTAATTAATGTCGGAACGTTAACTAATCATCACTTAGCAACCCTCCAACATTAATATAGAATGAGATTAAGGGAAGAATTAATAATCTAGAGAAGAAGTTAAGAAAATAACTCACAACTTTAATAATCAACAAGCTTCAAGAGCAAAACCAAGAAATGGAAGTTTAGCTCCTCATTTGGAGACTAAACATGCTATAAAAATATAAGAAATGCTATTCTAAACTGAGTTTAGGAGTATAGAAGAAGGGATGATTAAAAGTGAAGGAAAAGTGTGCTATTTATAGGTGTTTTCAACACCCTGGGGCGGATACCCGATCGGGTAAAGTGCCATACCCGACCGGGTATCAGTCAAAATCAAATATTTGCCACGTTCTTGTGATCTTCGCACGCCGGATTATCCCCGGTCACTTCTCACCCGACCAGGTGAGGTAGTGGACCCGACCGGGTCTAGTGATTTTCCAAGAAATTTCGTCTGTTAAATCAGACCCGACCAGGTGAAGTCTTCTACCCGGTCGGGTTTCAGCTCCTGGATAGTTCAATCTCCTTTTTCTTCACTTCAAAGTCCTCCTTTTCAACACCATAATTCCTAATTCTACTTTACAACTTATAAATGAAGATTAAAATACAATTAAAACTAAATTCACACAAGCTAACCAAAGCACTGTCCATAGTGCTTGTGTCCGAGATGTCCAATAGAATGAATCCCTTTGCCCTTTTTGGTGTCATTTATTTTCTTTTTGGTTGATGAAATTTTGGCTTTTGTTGTTTGTGGAGTAAGGGGATTTTGATATTTGGTTATTTGGGAGTTTTTTTTGTGGGTGTGATGGTGAAGAGGGTGATGAGGAGATGAAGAAAATGTTTTTTTTTATGGATTTGGTGTAGAAACAGAGTAGATTCAAATGTATGGAGTTTGAAAATGGTGTTTTGGCGGAGTTGGTTCGTGTTTGCAGAAGATGAAATGAGGAAAAAGAGCATGCCATCTCGGTTTTTGTGGAAACATTCCCGACGCCCGGCCGGGTGGGGTAGTGTACCCGGTCGGGCCTAACTCCCGCTTATCCAGAATGTTTTTGTCAAAAATACACGGCCGGGTGTATTAAAGGTACCAGGTCGGGTTTTGCCAAAAAATATTTGCCCGGGCGATTGTTTTAGTTCCAGGTGCTTTTATTAGATTCACCCAGCCGGGTAAAATAGCAAACCCGGTCGGGTGAAAATCATTTTAACTGAAAAAATTGGCCTGGCTCGCCCGGGTGTGTGCCGGGTGTGGGTTTTTATGATGCAATCCGACCGTGTTGAATTGGAACCCGGCCTGGTTCACCGTTTTTTTTTGAAAAGGTTTTCACACACACACAGAAACAGATGAAAATAAACAAAATACAAACTTGGGTTGCCTCCCAAGAAGCGCCTTATTTAATGTCGTGGCACGACGTTTATTTTTTATTTTTATTTTTTATGTGGGATCGTGAACATCCTTTGTTTCATTCTTTTTCCTTGGCCTTTTCCAGTAAGTTCGAGATTTCTTCTTTGTTACCACCTCAAACACAGGTGATTTAATATC